AACTCTGTATTTTGAAGACAAAACTTCTACTTTAATGTACTTCACAGTATGTAACACACCTTCTTCGAACTGAGACTTTTAAAAATATGTGTGAATGTTTCAGTCCATACAGCACATTTCTGGTTTTATTCTTTTTGTGAATGTGACTGAAGAACTATTAAAAAGACATTTAAACAGTTTGACAGATATATATATTTTTATTGCTAGTGAGGTGGGACTAAGTCCCTTGTACTGCGGCCACTTCTGGCCTATTGTACCAGCCCCAGATGATAGGTGAGGGTGATTGTGGAGCAATTGGTGGAATGAAGATTGGCAGGGGAAACCTAAGTACTCAGAGAAAACCTACCCCAGCGCCACTTTGTCCACCACAAATCCCACTTGACGAGACCCGGGATCAAACCTGGGATGCTGCAGTGGGAACCCAGGGACTAACTGCTTGAGCTACGGCACGGCCTCTACATATATACATATATATAAAGAGAATTTTAGAAATATTACTAATGCACTTATTTTCAGAATCTGTGAATATTATTCTAGGTGCACCCACTTGATAGCAACCCCATCCTTATATGTGGACTTAATCAACACATCGCAAGACCTGAACCTTAAGGTCACAACACTTCAGGTGGCAGCATATGCGGGTGCACCATGTAGTCAGCAGCTGGCTTTGCAGATTAAGTAAATTCTGAATGTCAGACGGCTGTGTGTAAGTTCTTAAATGGACCATGCTAAAATGAAGATCAGAAAGTATATTTAAATATATGTAAAATGAACTGAAGACCAAGCAGAAAACAAAGAATAGTGAGGATTGCTGTTTTCTGGGATGTGATGACATGTAGACTGGTATAAATTCAGAAGAATCTTATGCCAAGCTACACGACATCACATTTCAGAAGGACTGCAATTTAAATATTGCTCTGTGAACCTCAAACTGCTTAGATCACTCCTGTTTGAACAGTCATTATCTGGCATGGAAGTAACATTTCAATAGATATGGCATTGTTAAATAATCTAGAAATGCCAGTGCCTAGCAAACTCTGTTACAGGAGTAGTTAGTTAGTTATTTAGAGAGGGTGGGTTTCCCCATGCACCGTGACCAGTTTGATCTATTGTGCTTCCCTCTATGATATTCTACCAGTCTCTTTACCCTACCGATAAATGGTGCGTACCATCAGTCCCGCCGAGCAAGTGAGTGCGGCCACTTGCTTAGTGGTGTCTATAATGCTTCCCCCATCTATCAGAGGCCTTAGAGACTATTGTTGGGTGGGAAACATCCTAGAATTTGGCTCAGTGATCCCCTTTGGGGATATGAGGTTCTTTTACGTGCCGTAAAGTTACGATTCGGGACACACAGCATAAAGTCCCTCCTGGAGGACTTGTTCCCTGAATTTTTCCACCCTTAAATTTCGACGACCTCCGCTGGGTATTTGAACCCGCGTACCATGAGTCATGAGGTTGTTACAGGAGTAACTTTCTCTGTAATGTTTCAGCCTACTTTTGGAATGACAGAAGTGTCAGGAGTGTTTGTTTCAAAACCTCAGGATTCCTTGGAGAAAACAATAGACACAGTTGGCCACATAGTGGATCACTGTGAGGTAAGGTTCATTTAAAATAGCAAGAAACACTGGGAATGACTTATGTTTATTTTCTTTTAAAAATTGCTTAAAATAATAAATTACTTCCTACAATAGGAACCAAAAGGAACTGAACTTCTGTATTAGACAAGTATGTGTGTGTGTATGTCTATATATATTGTGATGTATATGCCCACTGCTAGGCAACAGCTCCATAAACACATTCCCAGAGCACATACTGTCAACAACAGAAGGACATCCATTGCTAGGTAACGGGGCCAATAAATATGCATTCTTGACAACAGAAGATAGTGTTTACCATGTGGTCTGTGTCAAGGAGGTGGCTTTGAATATCCCCACTATAGCCCTCTGAGTCATAGGAGGTGATAAAGAGGGAACCCAGTGCCTAGGGGTATAACTGGGCCACCCTGTTCCTGGAGGATATAAACATGGGAACCTGGCCCTCCAGGTTGGGGGAGTCTCAAATCTGAGACAGTAAAATGTGGTCAAGAGTCCTGTGGGACTTGAACCTGAGAATGACTGCGCTGGTGAGGACCAGCAGCAATTATAAATGACAGACCCATCCTATCATCAGAGAGGATGTTACATAAGAACTATAACTGCAAATGTTGAGCTGGAAAAAATTACTGGCAGTAAGTCTCAAGGGGCTTGTCACCAAGACGAACTGATTGGCTGTAAACTGCCAGTCGTAAAGTAACTCTGACTATGAGTCTGACTGAGAGATCAGAATTATGGGAGCACAATGGAGTGCAACAGAGCAGTGGAGGAGTTCAGTTGGAAATCAGAATAGTTCCCATGCAGTGTCCAGTCAGAACAAAATGACAGTGATTTGTGAACAGTTGTAACCAGTTGTATAAAAGTCCAATAAATTCAATCATCAAATTCAAAACCCATCTTATTATTCAGACAAGCCCTGGATACATGACAATATAAACACACATTTACCTGCCTAAAACAGAAATTCAGTTCAGTCCAGTTCAGGTAAAATTTACTTCAACATTTGTATATGTCTTGTTGTTAGCTTATGTTTTTATATGTTCAGAATGGCCATCAGATGTGTATTCCCACAAAGAAACACCCTAAACATTCATGTTACAAATAACAGGTGAAAGTGGTGGACACAGAAGGACGTATGGTTCCTATGGGAACCCCTGGAGAGCTCTGGGTGCGAGGATATAGTGTCATGTTGGGATACTACTCTGATGAAGAAAAGACTCGGGAATTCATTCGTCCAGACGGATGGGCAAAAACAGGGTGAGAATCTATATACTTTCTTACTTACTTACTCATGGAGCTGAGCCCTTCTGGAGGAGCTGCCAATTCTGCAGCTCCTCAAGAATTTCCCAGCATTTTATGGAACCAGAAGGTTCATTACTGAGTTCACAAGAGCCCTCCACTGGTCCCTATCCTGAGCCAAATCAATACAATCCATCCCATCCTATCTCTCCAAGATCCATTCTAATACTCTCCACCCACCTATGCCTTGGTCTTCCCTGTGGTCTCTTTCCTCCTGGCTTTCCCACCAATATCCTATACGCATTTGTCTCCCCCATTTGTGCTACACGACCTGCCCACCTCATCCTCCTTGACTTGATCATTCTAATTATACTTGGAGAAGAGTACAAGTTATGAAGCTCCTCATTAAGCAGTTTTCTCCAACCTCCTGTCACTTCATCTCTCTTCGGTCCAAATATTCTCAACACCCTGTTCTCAAACACCCTCAGTCTATGTTCCTCCCTTAATATCAGAGACAAAGTTTCACACCTGTACAGAACCGCAGGCAAAATTATAGTTTTGTATATTCTAATTTTTATGTTTTTGGACAGCAGATGAGAAGACAAAAGGATCTGGACTGGATGGTAGCAAGCATTACCCAAGTTCAATCTCCTCTTAATTTCCTCCTGAATCAGGTTTCGATCTGTTATAGTTGTTCCCAAATATCTGAATTGTGCCACATTTTCAAAACATCTGTTTCCTATCTTTATGTCACGATTTTGCCCTGCATTTTGGTGACGAGCCAGCAACAAATACTTAGCAACAGTAATGGACACTACACATAAAGAGCTACGCATGTTTCTATGTGCATCTTGAATAAAATTTGTATGAAACTCAACTCATACTTATTGGAATGAAAAATGGCTGAAAAAAAGGAATACGTTACCCACAGTTAATTTCCAATTTATTGTAACATGTAGAGCCATTAAAATACAGTAACCACAAGATAGGTGATTATACCAAGGTCGTTTCTGGGCATCAGATCTGTAAACACGTTTCTGTAACAAGTCATGAAGGTCATGAACGCAACGACAGAAGAGCTGTGTTTTCCGTGTGGAGTGGGGGAGTGGATATATATACCTATTATTGACCTTGGCACTAGTTAGAGGTGACTGGTCAGCTTCATGCCCCGGCCACTTTAGCCCCAAGGAATGATCCCATGATACCATGGGATAAGAGGCTGGGTGGACAAAACCGGTCTAGACAAGGTGGAGAGGAGAAAAATCTTGTCTCTTCCGGGACTTGAACTCCAACCCCTTGGACATCCAGCATGTAGCCAGTCACTGTACTGACTGAACTATCCCAGCTCCTCATCAGGGTTGGTAGTAGCTACAAATAAAAGCAGAAGATGTTACCAATAAGCTGCAGTGGAAAGTGTCCATAAGTAAGTACTGCAGCATCCACTACAAATTCAAAAGAAAATTTATAACGCCAATTAATGTACATTGGTACTCCGTGAACTTTAGTATCTTAATACATATGTACCTATTGTTTCAGACCTTTACAAAAGTTCCATGTGCAGAGGAACATTTTCCTCAATAGATGTTATGGTCCATATTCAATAATGATGTTGATTACCACAACAGTTACGCTTGAAATTTCAGTGGGAATGATTCTTGCCATAAAATGAAGAAATAATCACAACAGCAATTCATTGTTTTCTAAAGGGACCAGTTTGTGCTGCAGGAAGATGGTTATGCAAGAATTGTAGGTCGAATGAAGGATGTGATCATTAGGATTGGAGACAAAATCTTCCCATCTGAGATTGAAGAGTTCTTTGAGACACATCCTGACATTATGGAAGCTCAGGTACAGTCACACACAGAGCCGTTCATTAACATGCTGCAATGTACAGACTTGTATTATTATTATTATTATTATTATTATTTATTTCATCCATAGCTGTAGAGAATTACAATTGGACATGTCAAATATCAACAACCTCACATCAAAAATAAAATAACATTCACACGGTGATTCATCACTACAATACAGCAATACATTTCAAAATACATTTTAACTTAATTTAAGAATAATAAATACTTCAAAAAAGACATAAGAATAAATATTTTAAACATACAGACAGATTTATTAACAATCAGTTTACATAAACAATTAATAATAATAAATACTCCAAAAAAGGCATAAAAATATACAGATTTATCAACAAGCAGTCAATGTCAACAATTATTAAAAAATTCTTATAGAAAATAGAAGACATTACAAAAACAAATAATTCTTAAGTTTCTTCTTAAAAACATTCAAATTGATTACATTCTTTAATTCAGTTGGAAGGCCATTAAATATTTTGGTTCCCATACTAATCACCCCTCTCTTGCTACACTCAGTATTACAAAACTGTACATATAAATTGTGTTTATGAATAGTGTTATAGCCATGAACATCAGAATACTGGGTGGTCTAAATCTTATTTTTTATTATAAAACATAAGATCTCAAAAATATATAAGGAAGTAACAGTTAAAATCTTTAATTCACGAAACAAATTTCTACAGGAAACTATTTTTAACACCTTTTATCACCCTTACACATTTTTTCTGCAGTTTAAATAGAGTTTCAGAGTCCTTTTTCACCCCACCCCAAAAAATAATACCGTATTTCAACATGGACTCAAATTTTGCAAGATACACACTTCTTAAAACAGTTTGGCTCACTGAGTCCCATAGGGATTTTATCAAATAGGTAGTCTTGCTAAGTTTTTGACACACATATTGGGTGTGGGTTGCCCAACTTAAATCTGCAGTAATGCAAATACCCAAAAATTATACCTCAGTGGAATACAGATAAATGGCATGTGAAATGTATGTTTGTTTCTTCTTTAATTCACAATTTGCCTTTAGATTTCCCAGATGTCCAGTCAATAACCTAGTCACTATATGAATTTAGCTATCTCTGCTTCTTGCAGAGTGCTGTAACACTGATATATTAATATTTTAAGAAGTTCCATGTAAAAAGAAAGAATTATAAGACATTAGTATCTTCTGCACAAAGTAAATTGCAGATATAATACAACAACATATGTGCATGTAAAAGCTATTCCATTGATACCTACATCGTGACAGTAGAATAACTATTGGCACATAACATACAACTCTCATTTTTCATCACTGACTGTGAGTGTGTCAACAAATTTGTTTTCATGTATTCCTGTTTAGGTATTTGGAGTGCCAGACCCAAAAGTTGGAGAAGAAATCTGTGTCTATCTAAGACTTCGTGAGGGAGTCACCATTACTGAACAAGATGTCATTGATTTCTGTAAGGATAAGGTGAGTGTACACTTTTATAAAATGTCATCCATTTATATATTTCAGTTTAAAAAAAATTATGAAAACAAACAAGAATGAAAATATTACTTTCTTCTGGGATATAGTCTGGTAGGTTTCCAGTGTGTTGGAGGAGCTTTGTTCTTTCGAAACATTGGCACTCTTCTTTCAGACTCCACAGTGACATATCCCAGAAAGCAGTAATTTTCATAGTTACCACATTCAGAACTTCAGATGTTGCTAGCAATACTCTATGGACAGGCCACGCTACACCATGTCTAAAGATCGGAAAACCACAAATCAGGAAAGCTAACATAGAGGTACCATATTACTCAAAAATATTGTTAACATTCTACCAAACTGCATGACATCACATCATAGAAAGTACTTGCCTTCATTGTGACTGCCTTGAAAACTTATGATCTTTCCAAGAATTTGTGCTCAGCGTTCTCCAAATAATTTCATCATGACTTTATATTCATATCAGTCATTCACTTTAATATTCCAATATCTCGAGGAAAAGCCCTAGATCATAATCAGGTTTATATTTTATATCATGCAGAGATACCTATTCAGCCTGAAAAAAAAATCATCATACTTCTGAAATTAGTTAACCAATATCGCTTTCCTTGTACCCAATCAGAGAACATTTCTCAACAGTTACTTAAAGATGAAAAAAATTCTTGCTGACATCAACTGCACCATCTTGAAATATTTGTAAATGTTTAGCACAACAGAAACTGGGTAACCTGAATAAAAGTATTTCTGTCATACATATTTGTACTCAACCACATTGCTGACTGTGAAAGTACTAGCATCTTGTGTGTTACACAATATAGTATGGTGGAAATTACTCAGTTATCTGCTTGTTTGTTCTACTGTCTGAACCTGAAGATGGAGACAGTACATTCCTTTGAAATGTTGGTAAAGTTCTACCAGATTATATGGTGTCACATCCCAGAAGATAATAATTGTAAAAAAGTAAAGCTATCCCTGTACCAGGCCATGAAGGCCCATAAGGTTGTGAGATGTTGAGGGTCCCACATTATCTAGACAGTCAGCTCAAAGATGGCGGTAAGGTTGTCAGCCTTATGCGCCGGCCGCACTTTACTCCCCAGGAAAATAATTTAATTAATTCCTGGTACTCATTTCTGTTAGAGGCTGAGTGAACCCCAGGGCCATAGTGCCTTGGAAGGATTAGGTCAATTGAAAAAAAAAATCCAATGACCTCATGGGGACTTGAACCAACAACCTTCCGGCTTGTAGCATAGCCCCTGTCTGTATGGATGGAGAGGACAACCAAACTATGCCATTACATTACGCAAAAGGATGAATGAAAATCACTGGTGTGTTACAGATTGCTCATTACAGAATCCCACGGTACATCAAGTTCATCAATGAGTTTACTAGGTCATCAGCAAGTGGCAAGGTACAGAAGAAACATTTGCTGGCAAACATTCTTTGTGAAATCAGCAGCGCACATTAAGATCAACTGAAAGTTTGGTAGATGATAAAAAAAACCCTCGACTACAGTATTGCTTCCAACTGGGCTGAAAACATTTTTTTTGAGCTAATAATTATCCTAAGAAAAGTTGCCTGTCTATTTCTGGTTTTGCACAATCAGGCAAATGTCTAGCCAGTTCTAACTTCATTTCACTATCCTAACAACAAGGACAAGGAAAACATCAATCATAACCAGTGCTTCTCTCTAGAAACATGTTTATCACCACCAAGCCGAACCAAGAAATGCACTGGCAGATATGTGATTCTCGGCAAATTTGCTGCTTCGCATCATTCACTTGCTTATATGTGTACCAGCTCAAAACAGGGCTCTTAATATATGGCCAGTTAATATAACAGAGTTTTGTTATGTAATATCATCAGTTGGCAGTGTTTTCATTTCCAACTTCCAAGGAACTGCATTTCTAAGTTGTTTGATTATGATGAGATGCATTTGAAGCTTACATTTCAACTGTCAAAAGACATTATTATTTTGTATCAATTTCTATTCCATTAATAAAAATTATTTCAAAACCCTTCATTTTAGTGACCTGTTAATTGTATGCTGCTGTTACTACCCAACTCTGAGGGCAGTAGCACTTCCTAAGGAGCTGATACATTAGGATATTGTCACTTCTTAAGGAACTTGAAGGGTCGCTGACTTGTTTACAAGTTCCCAGAACTTGACTATGCTGAATGAATTCAGTACTTCTCATGTCCCATTTCTTACTTTCCCTACTCTATGACCAGTTAATGCTGGTATAATCAATTTGCTTGTATATTCTATGTGTATGTCTGTTTATCCAAAATATGAGTAGCATAATTCAAAATTAAAAGCATTCATTTTGTCAGTTATTTGAATTTCTATTATTGTTCCAGGAATTTTTCCTCTGAGTGTTTTGAGAGTTGTATTTTTGCCCTAATATTTATGTATAGAAAATTACACATCAGAAGATTGTATAATGTTATTTAAGTAATAGCCTTATCTCTGAAAGTCTAATTTTTACAAAGAGAAACCTGGTCAGTGGGAAATAGTGGTGTCATTTATGTCAGTAATTTGGTGACTTAAAAAAGGTTTCTTCAATTACAGTTGTGTCAGCATCATATAAAATTTGTTGTAGCAAGCATTTGGGTCAGCGGCCTCTGTAGTCTAGAGGTAATGTTCCCACCTCATGACTCGTGGTACATGGGTTCAAACCCGGCGGAGGTTGTGGAATTTTTAAGGGCAGAAAAATTCAGGAAACAAGTCCTCCGGGAGGGACTTTAAGCCGTGGGTCCCGTGTTGTAGCTTTACAGCATGTAAAAGAACCTCATATCTCCAAAGGGGGTCACTGAGCCAAATTACGGACGTTTCCCGCCCAACAGTAGTCTCTAACGCCTCTGATAGATGGGGGAAGCATTATAGATACCGCTAAGCCAGCAGAGGCCGAACTCGCTGGCTCGGTCGGGACTGATGGTACGCACCAATATCGGTAGGGTATAGAGACTGGTAGAATATCATAGAGGGAAGCACAATGGACCAATACTGGTCTAAGTGCATGGGGACACCCACCCTCTCCAATAACTAACTAACTAACTAACTAACTAAGCATTTGGGTCAGTCAGAAACTGTCACATGCTGATGATCTGTTATAAAGGGGAGAACTGGAGGGACAGATATAAAAGTGGGGTTAGTTAGTTAGTTAGTTAGTTATTGGAGAGGGTGGGTTTCCCCATGAACTGAGACCTGTCTTGGTCCATTGTGCTTCCCTCTATGATTTCTGCCAGTCTCTATATCCTACCGCTTTAAAAGTGGGGTTTATCCCATACTGTTATTAATGGGAATTAGCCCATGACTTTCAAACAATTCACCAGAAAGTGAAATTAAGTTAAAGAGAAAAATTCTAAAGAACACTATCCTCTAGATTGTGATGTCATATAGTCTGGTAAATTTCACTGACCTTCCTTCAAAATGCTGATAAACTTCTTCCAGACTACACAGTGTCAGATTCCAGGAGATAGCATTCTCCATAGTTACTGATGTGAGGGTCTCAAATCTAACAAAAATAATTCGATTTTACAGAAACATGAAAAAAGAAAAATGTGTATAACACTTTAAAATAATTCTTGTCCTGTCAAATCAGCATAATCATATGAACAGCCATTAAGTGGTATTCACTTCTAATACCAGGATGCAGTCTGAGGTCAGGTTAATCGTTTACTCATGCTGTATAACTCAGCCTTAACAGTAAGTTGCTTCAAATAAAAGTAGTTTTATTAGTGTCATTAATAGCTATAACTTCATTAGTCAGCAGAAAAATAACACTTAAATTAGTACCAACAGCAATACCCGTATCCAAAATATTAAAGAACGTTAAGGAAACTGGAATGAGCTACAGTTCTGGAGTATGGAAACACAAAACCTCTGAAAGGAAAAATTTCCAAGGAGGAAAAATGAAATTACTTAATAAACTGTTAACAGATATCTCTAAATTATGTTTCATTTTTTTGTTTCCTTTCATTTTCAACTAAATGACATCAAAACTGTTGTCAGGACTTGAGGCTGTCACAGCGGTGGTTATGAAGAATCCTGTCATCTGGGAGAAAACGCTATGCAACCTGGTGAAAGTCAACTGTCATTTCAGAGGAAAGTCACCTCCATCTATATAGTTGAGGAGTAAGACAGGCAGAAAACCAACAATATGCAGGCAGCATTATAACTACCAGAAGACATGTTATAGAGCACACCATCTCTAAGTAAACATACAAGGCAGGAACATCATATCACTATCTGAAAATACCCTGAAGGCCTACAAACATAAGGGTTGTTCACAGGAAGAGTCTCACCACCCCTGTTATAGAGCCATGCTGATGAGCTATTTGGAGGACCCACTGAAAGAATTTAATTTGGGGTTGCTGCCACAGCAAGTGGGAAGTTTCTCATGCAAAATGAGGGTTATGAGAACCGGAAGAGCTTCTGGGATATATCACTGTGTAGTCCGTTGAAAGTCAACCGTCATTGCAAAGGAACATATCGCCTAAGGTCTAATAAGCCATGCAAGCTATCAGAGTGAAAGCAGGTGGCAAGCAGAGTTATGAGGACTTGCCTTCCTTTCTGTTGCTTCAAACAGAACAGTAGTACCATTTGTCACAAAGTTGAATTTAAGGAGCCATAAATAAGCAATCGCTTATGGGGAGACTGTTACACATATTCACAAAATGTGAATAATTTTCTCGAATTTAAAAGATCTGTAATCTGGGAAAACCTGCTAATAAGGCTGCAAAAATGTTAATAGACTTGCTATTATTTTTTATTGTGAAAAATAATAGTAAATACAAAGAAGGCCTAGGCAATGCCCATCTGACAGACTTACATACTTTTTATTGTGAAAAATAATTGTAAATACAAAAAAAGAGCAAGGCAACGCCCATCTGGCCTTCTGTAGCACTGCATTATTTTTTAATTGTAGAAAAAATATTGTAAGTAAAAAAAAAAAGTAGTGACCAAAAAAAAAACGCCTGGGCACTGCGCATGCGGCCTTTTGTAGCACATTCTAATAAACATCTTATTCTATAATGTAGGTAATTCCGCGATTGTTAATATAGATCTTGACTTAAATCTGCGAGAACACTGTAAATAATCAGTACAATTACCTCTTTTTACTTTTCTTACATATCTATTAGCACTGCATTACGATAGAGATGCATCATTCTGCCATCTGTGAAATATTACAGACTACAAAGCTAGTATGTAGTTCAGTATTTACTCAACAGGTTGCTCATGTATCGCCGCGGGTCGAAACAAACTACACTAACCGGCAATCAAAAGTACAAGCCCAACATGGCGGCAGAAAGGCCGCTGGAGCAGAACACATTGGAAATTAGAACCAAAAGTATCGAGCAAACTCTTATACCCCTAGTAAAACAGGTAAGAAAATACATTTCAGTGATTTGTTAGCGGAAAGTGATACTATTTTGATGTAATTCCTATGGACCGATGAATATGTTAGAAATTTCATGATTATTGTGACCCTGTGAGACATATTCAGCGTGCTTGTTCTGGGTGCTTGCTCCGCCCCTCACTTGTAAGGTGGGTCGAGTGACGGGATTGGTTAATGTACGTAGAGGAGTACAACAATAAAATGCAATGTTAAATGAGAGTGCCCAGACTTTGTTAATGAGGTAATGATGAGGTACGTAATCGATTGCGATACGGGCACGTACTCAAAATATTTTAAAATCTCACTAACATTGCCAACATATGGCTGGAACTAATAAATACACCATATATGTACTTTGGTGACTGCTGTATGCAACTTTGCGTAATCCATTGCGGTTGTTTGGAAGATGAAATGAAAGGGGCGTAGCAGAGCCACACCTTTCAATTAACGCTATTCGTGTGTTATTTTAGAAAGCCACCTCATCTTCGAAAGATGAAAATAAATACACATTTTCCAAATATTACCTTTACATTGTTTTAATGTGTATAGAGAAGAATTGTGATTATTCTCCAAGATAAAAAAGACGTTTTTATTCAGAGTGAGAACTCTTGTAGTCAAATATATGTTGCTATATTCAGGAATATCATCGGTTAGTATGAGAGTTGATAAATTGACCAAATAAACTGAACATATTCCCAGTTCTGTACCATATGGTTTCTTATTGGCGCTGATGACACTATAGTACCACACATTTTCACATGGGTTTAATGTGAATAGGAGTGGATATAAATGAATGTGCCCTGTTTATGGAACTAAACAAATTAGTTCTTTAAAGTATCAGAACAGGTTAACTTACGTTTTTCCATATTTATTTGCATTGGTTTTGTGATGAGTGGGTGATATAATGTTCGTTCTAGTGCAGTTATGTATGTATAATCAGGTTTTCTTTTATCATAGTAATAGTCAAAATGTCACTAGAAATTCTTGAATCCAACAAGTTTTTCCTGTGAGCTTTTTACTGACAAGTTGTACATTTTGAATAAATATACAACTTTTGTGTTCTCTCAGAATAAGTAATATTCCTGTAGGTTACAGGTAATGGTTTTGCATCCAAATACTGTTTGTCTCTGATACTGTTTTGCCAATGGTACCCATGAACTGACCACATTAGACTATGAAATTGGATTGAAATCAAATTAATCACAAGTCTGTAGCCAGGACTGGACTCTCTATAGTACTGTCTTTCACGTTAAGAGTGTTTTACTTTGACTGTGGGACCACTGATGAAAAACGTAAAGGTGAAGCTATCCCTGTAACAGGCCTTGAAGGCCCGTAGGGTTGTGAGGCGTCGAGGTTCCCACATTTTCTCTAGACAATCGGCTCACAGATGGCGGTGAGGTTGTCAGCCTTACGCTCCTGAAGATTCCTCATACTCATTTCTGTTGGAAGCTGAGTCAATCTCAGGGCCATAGTGCGGCTGGAAGGATTAGGTCAATTGAAAAAAATCCGCCTCATTGGGACTTGAACCCGCTACCTTCCGGCTTGTAGCATAGTGCCTCTACCTAGTGCTGCCGCGTGCCTATAGGATCATTAATGATTTTCTGTTAGGACCCATGAAAGTGGATTCTAATAATTTGTATGCTTACTGTAATGGACCGAAGAGAGATGAAATGACAGGAGGTTGGAGAAACTGCATAATGAGGAGCTTCATAACTTGTACTCTTCTCCAAGTATAATTAGAATGTTCAAGTAAAGGAGGGTGAGATTCGCAGGGCATGTAGCATGAATGGGGGAGAAGAAGAATGCATATAGGATATTGTTTGGAAAGCCAGATGGAAGGAGATCCCTGAACAGACCAAGACGTAGGTGGGTGGACAATATTAAAATGGATCTTAGAGAGATAGGATGGGATGGTATGGATTGGATTCATCTGGCTCAGGATAGGGACCAGTGCAGGGCTCTTGTGAACACGGTAATGAACCTTTGGGTTCCATAAAATACTGGGAAATTCTTGAGTAGCTGCAGATTTGGCTTCTCCTCAAGAAGGGCTCAGCTCCATAAGTAAATAAGTGATATGTGGTGATGAAAATAACCAATAACTAATATAATTCATACTGTGGAAATAGTACAGAGAGGATGTTTGGTGCCTGCCCGTGATCACGAGCTTTCCGTGAGTGAGTAAGAGTGTACTGAAGTAAAAGAAATTCACATCTTACACGTGAAGTTCCACTCCATGATGTAGAAGTTGGTGTTTGGTGTGCTTTGAATTTGAGAAATATTATGGGCCGTGTGTTTAGAGCGGCCGTAATTAATTCTGTATCTGCAAGTAGACCCGTAACCCTCACTGCTCATAATTGTGACCATGGGTGACCAATTAGGAAAGGCAGCACAACCCATTCTGTGAGCATGTCCTACCACAGCCACCAAATATCTTTCTATCTTATATGAAATGGACAGGTCATGAAAGGGGTCAGAATCACTCACGGAGCTGAGCCCTTCTTGAAGAGCCGCAAATTCTGCAGCTACTCAAAAACTTCCCAGCATTTTATTGAACCCGGAAGTTCATTACCGTGTTCACAAGACCCCTCCACTCCTCCCTATCCTGAGCCAGATCAGTCCAATCTACACCGTCCCATCTCTTTAAGATCCATTTTAATATTGTTCACCCACCTACTTCTTGGTCTTCCCAGTGGTCTCTTCTGGCTTTCCCACCAATATACTATATTCATTCCTCTTCTCACACATTCATGTTACATTCCCTGCCCATCTCAACCTCCTTGACTTGATCACTGTATAAAAATCTGCTGAAGGGAGAAATAACTTGAGAGACTTATTTTTATGTGAGAATAATATTAAAATGTTTGTTAAAGAAGTAAGGTGTGATGAAGTGGATTGGATTCATGTGGCGCAGGATAGAGGCCAGTGGTGTGTTCTTGTGAGCAAGGTAATGAACCTTCGGGTTCTATAAAAGATAGTGAATTTCTTACTAGCTGAGCAACCAATAGCATTTCAAGGCCTCAGCTTCAGAGCATTAGTTAATGATTGTAATAAACATGTGTCATGTTGGCGTATTTATGGCAGGAGGGTTGCGTTTCAGAGCATTGTCTGAGAAGAAAAAATGGGCATTATCTACTTATAGTTGGGATATTTCTTAAGGGCCGGAATGGTTGCAAAAACGGCGAATTAATTTAATCTGGGGCTTTTAAAATGTGACGTTGGTAACCGACATTTTCCGTCTATAGAATGAATGTCAATTACATGCGCATGTTCTGAGACTTAAATTGATGAAAAATTAATTTCCGGTTCTGAAGCAGAACTGAAAATCATCGCTACGAGATATAAATTACTGTTTTTTGTTTGTTTGTTTGTTTTTTTTTTTTTGCAACTGGGAAGTGTGTTAACCATTAGACGCTATCCAGTGTAGAGAAATCCTGTGTAAATGTAAATCATCTTTGGTTTTAGATATTGGCAGAGAACAGTTATCATTCAGAATTACTGCGTTTTTGGACTTTGTCCATCGTCCGGTATTAAGATAAAACTAGAGAAAAAAAAGTTTTTGGAAACTGGATCTGTTTCCGTCCTCAGGTGAAAGGGGGGGGGAGAGACGTACTCTTTTGGGTCACTTAGAAAGAGCTAAACTAAAATCACTGGTCCAGTGAGAACGGAAACAGATCGAGTTTCCGAAACGTTATGTTCTCTGGTTTTTACAATACCGGATGATGGACAAAGTCCAAGAACCCAGTATTTTTTTTAGTAAGAACGAACAATTATCATGTTTTGTCCACCATCGGATAATGGGGTAATAAGTGATATTTCACCTCTGATTATATTCGTTATCTCATATTCTAGAGTAGGCATGGCCAACTTCAAACAGGTTATGATCGACTTTTTAGTGTCAAAACTGCCAGTGATCTGCCACCCCCTCCTATCGCCGTACCTCGCTTTAAGCAAAAATTTTGGTAAAAATAAGAGTTCACGTGATAAGGATAGAATAGGGACTTCCCCACAGTTCACTTAACACAAGTGTAAAGCAATTTACACGTAAGCTACATAAGAACAGAAAAATAGGAATGACTAATACGTATTTTCCCTTCAAAATCTGAATATAATCATATTATATTAACATTTACATGCTTTTCACGTATAATTTCCTTGTAGGTCTATGAGATCGACCAAAAATCGTCCCGTGATCGACGCGTTGGACATGCCTCTTCTAGAGTAACAGAAATATGTAAGAAACGACTGGAATTTATAAGCGAGTCGCACGTCTTGCACAGGAATTTGCAGTTTGGTTATGTCAGAACATCATTTTGAAATTAAATTTATACACACAACTAAAATCCCTCAAAATTTCTAAGTTTCACTAAGACTACCTAAGCAACCACGAAACCGGAGCTGAATATATACTACGAAAGCACGAAAACGTGTGTAGGGGGTACAATAATAGGGAGCTGACTATAGCATTACCAACGGAATGTTGCGATGCGAATGTTTAACGAGAAACAAATTAATTACGTTCTGCATGTATGCATATACTACTGTAAATTTAATCACTTTTACTAAACAGAGCAGCTCTAACATCACAAATCGGGTTCAAAACTAACAGTTTTCTACTGATTTGCCATGCATACTGTTCAATTGTTAAACATTATTGCCTGTATGATTAGTACGTATTGCGTTTCATGGCAATCCATCCGACATGCAGATTGGTGGTAGGAAAGCACGTTATTGTCGCTACTCAGCTGTCATGCATTTCTTGGCATAACAATACTTAACTGTCACGCTATGCATCGACCTTCGCGTTGGCTGTAGTCTACTCAACTCAATCTTATCTAGGCCCAGCGAGCGGAGAGTTTCGGTCACAGATAGCGCATATATGGTGGGAAGCGTATTGTTTCGTGAAGCCAACTTTAACGATTCGTTCGTGTTTGATGTTTAAACGACATGTAAGTGGGATGTAAGGCAGCAGACGACTACGGAAGTGAAC